ACATGGTATGGCAAATAATAAATCAATTAGCACGGATCATACATGTATTAGAAATAATCATCATGATCGGGATTAGCTGGATCATAAGTCTCATCATCACTATCACGCATGTCGATATAATCATCCCCATGCTACGAAGGAGGAATGTCATCATCACCGTCATTGCTTAGATGTAATCGCTGAAGTAATTCTAAGTCCTTTACATTCTGAACCTCGTCTCCAGCGTCCTCGTTAGCACCACTTTCATTGTCTACTTCCATACCCTGAGCTTTGGTTAAGTCTATCTCAAAACTCCCTTCGAGTCCATCTTTTTGAAAGAACTCTCTGTCATATGTGTTGGGGTCTATGTTGTAATCTTGATTGTTTAGGACAGGTAGTTTACCGTGTGGCGATACCTTGTACACAACGTCCTAACCCTTAAGACGGTCGACAGTTTGGCACGGGTATGAGAGATAATAAACTTGCGTGGCCTATTGAGCCACAATATAGACATCATCTCTTGGTAAGATGGATGATTGTTGAATTTCAACTAGCCCAAGATTAGGGGTCCGTCTCACTACTTTAGGATCAAACCAATAACATTTGAATATAACGGGATTGAGAGGTTTGCAACCATGAAACATGAGTTCATATATTTCTTCAATTCTTCCGTAATACTCAACCCCATCTAAGCCTTGCGTAAAAACTCCGATATTTGTAGTTCTTCGATTGGGCCGACTCTGCTCGAGACTTATTGTGTGAAAGTGATATCCATTCATGTCATAACTGATAAATGACCTGACCCTTAGGCACACTCGGCAACCTGTCTCAACTCGGCACTCATAGACGCATTGGTTTGTCCCTATAAGTTCAAGCAGGGTAGTTCGTTATATTAGTCGCACGTACGAGCAACTTGTAATGTCAAACTAAGTACGAGCCAAATTAGACAGTACCTTCTGTTTGAACCAAGAAATGAAATCAGGCTTTCTATTTCCCGCACACTCTCTAAGAAGGGTCAAAGTTTCTTACGGGGTAGGTTCCCTTGATTCACGCTAGAATTGTTCATGAAATTTCCTATACCAACGAGAAACAAGGGAGTTGGACACAAAATTATGACTACTTGAGAAAAAGTTTGTTGACAACTTACAGCATGTATGGCTCTACTTCGGATAGGTTGGTCAACACTTATAGCATAATAGTGCGCCACTCTTCATGTTTCAAGGTCTTATTAGTCGCACCACTTGCACTTCCTAGTTGCCCTTAGAAAATGCTAAGGTTCGATTCATCTTCGCCAGCATTGTAATGAGGGGGTAGATTATGCATGCTAGGAAGGTTGTCAGCATAGTATTTTGTTGTGAAGTTTGACACCTCCTCTAGAATGTATGCCTCTTCTATGGATGCTTCAATTTTACATTTATTTTTACATTTAGTTCGAAGAACCTTTTGAAATCTCTCAATTGAATAGCATCAACGGCCCTACACAGGCCCCCCATTCGTGCCTCATCCTCATACTAGAGGTGCAAAATCAAATGCTGCATCAGATTGAAGAAGCCGGGTGGAAAGATCTTCTCCAACCTACAGAGCAACACAGGCGCCATTCTTTCCATATCTACAACCACGGTACGAGATAACTCCTTAGCACAAAGTTGGCGGAAGAAATTGCTCAACTCCGCCAGCACTATCCAGACATGCTCAGGGACATAGCCTCGAACCATCACCAACAGTAGCCGCTCAAGCCATATGTGGTAGTCATGACTCTTGAGCCCGTTGATTCGCAAAGTAGCTAAGTTCACTCCCCTCTTCAGATTCGATGCATACCCATCAGGGAACATTAACATTTGGAACCATTCTAGTACTTCCCTCATTTGGGCCCTCGTTAGAACGAAATTAGCCTTAGGCTTTCTCCATGACTTCCCGCCTCCAGGAGGTGCCATGTCTAGCTTTGATCTATTGCATAACCTCGCTTGATCCACTCTAGCCTTAACATTATCCTTTGTCTTATCAGGAATGTCCATGATTGTACCAAAAATTGCCCCAGCGACATTCTTTTCAGTGTACATTATATCAATGTTATGTGGAAGTAGAAGGTCATCAAAATAGGGGAGGTTCCACAAGCACGACTTGTGAGTCCATGCATGTTGTTCACCATATCCTAGAAAATGATCTCCTTGGTCATTAACCTCGAGATCGTCTAACTGAGCACGAACCATGGCACCAATCATCATCTGGGGTGCAGGGCCTTCAACTACTACATCTTTCATAAAGTTTTTGATGTCTCATCTGAATGCATGGTCAAGAGGGAGGAATTGTTGATGTTTGTCGAACGAAAAATACTTACCACCCTTCGTCAACCAAATGAACATTAGAGACGCCTTGCATACTGGGCATGAGAACTTCCCGTGAACACACTAGCCACAGAATATCCCATACGCCAAAAAGTCATACAGGGAGTACTAGTACCAAACATGCATTTTGAAGTTTATCTTTGTACCTCGTCGTATGTCCATACCCCTTCCTCCCAAGCACGGACCAAATCATCAATCAGAGGCTCCATGTACACACTCATATTATTCCTCGGGTGTTCAGGAATTATCAACGACAAGAATATGTTCTGTCATTGAAAGAGGACGCCAAGGGGGAGATTGAGAGGGATAACGAACATGGGCCAACAAGTGTATGAGGCAGCCATCATTCCATAAGGATTGAACCCATCTGTTGCCAGTGCAACACGTACATTACGAGCCTCTAGAGCTTTCTCATGATGAATCATATCAAACCTTGTCCATGCTTCACCATCGGATGGATGCGTGTTGATTTTGTTTACCCCGTTAAAATGCACAGGCACTTTGCTAGACAAGCAGTGAGTGAAGTTGACAAGAATCGTGTACAGATACAAATAGAAATGGATTAAGTTCACTTTTGGCCCCTCAACTGTTGGGTTCGTCTAATTTTGTCCCTCAACTATAAAATCGTTAAATCCTGGTACCCCAACTGTCAAAACCGTTCAGTTTTAGCACCTGGGCGCGCCCGGGGCTGTTTTGTTCGACGTGGAGCGGGTTTGACCACACCACGTAGGACATTGGCCTCCATCTCAGTGACATGTGGGGCCCACACGTCAACCACTCATCCCCTCCCTCTCCATCCTCACGACAGCGCCCCCACGCCACCACTGCCCAAGCGACGTTGGTGTCGTCCCCCACGCCAGCGCCGCCCCTACGCCGCCCCATGTCTCATCGTGGCCAGCGGGCAAAATCCTGACGCCGCACCCTGCCTGTTGCCTGCACTAGCCCTCCCGCGCGTGGCATGCCCCATCACCGGACTGCGCTGCTGCGACGCCACGGCCATGGCGTCATCGCTGCCACAGCTGCCTGCGCGTGAACCCAGGCCGAGCCCCCTCCACCCTAGTTGCGCCCTCTGTCGAGCCCCCTCCGCTGAGCCGCGGTCGACCCTGAGACTGCGTGGGCCTGGCACTGCTCACCGGTTGACGTCCTCCGCTGCTGGCTAGTCCTGCCGGCCACTCCCCTGCTGCCTCCTACCGGCGAGTCATCGGGGAGCAGGGCCCTACAGATCTAACTGGCCAGAGAGCAGGGCGTTACGGATCTGACTGACATTGAGGTGGGGAAGAAGCCAGCCCACACCCACGCCTGGAGGCTGGCCTGCGCCGGCGAGAGGAGTGGAGGCCAGCACCGCCATGTTGAAGAGAGCAGCGCCCTCGCCGCCACGCCGAAAAGAGGAGGCGGCAGGGGAGTGGCCATAAGGATGGAGAGGGAGGGGATGAGTGTGTGATGTCTGGGCCCTACATGTCACTAAGATGGAGTTGGCATCCTATGTGGCGGTCAATGCCAGCGTGGTATGGTCAAACCCGCTCCACGTCGGACAAAATAGACCTGCCGCCGCCCAAGTGCTAAAAGTAAACGGTTTTGACAGTTAGGGTACTAGCATTTGACGGTTTTGTAGTTGAGAGTCAAAATTAGACTAACCTAATAGTTTAGGGTCCAAAAGTAACTTTTGTTTTTATTTCACCGAGCACAGTAATAAGAACACAACAACGGTCGCAAAGGAGAGGGCGCGAGATAACTATGACTATAGATCTATGCCAACCACCCTACACAACGATTTTTTGCAAGCAAATAGTAAGAGAAGGGGAAGAGCCGAAGAGGTGAGCGGATCAGAGATCGAAACCAAAATGGATTACTTGCCTCTTTTCGTCGGGCAATCGGGCAACCTCATCTAAAGCTAAATCCATACCCGTACACCTACACATCACAGCAAAAAGGCGACGATGAGGGCCGAGCTACGACGACGAAGTTGATGGGCAGGTGCGAGAGGCGGGGGATGGAGTTATACCAGAAACCAACGGGAACGTGGGGAGCCTGAGGATCCTGGTGCTCGCGGCCGCACGCTCCTCGCGCCTTCTCCCGTGCTCCGGCCACTGCGCCGGGCGGCGGAGCGTGTCCGGAGAGAGAAGCGAGTGGCGGTGGCAGGCCGAGCGGCGCGGGTGGAGTGACCGAGTGAGGCTTTACTCCTGAGTCGGAAACGGATGCCTTGTCTGGCGGGCCCCACAGCGTCACATATGGGCCAAGTCCAACAATAAAAAACTCGGGCAGCCCACTAGCCCACCGAAGGCCGAAGCTTCCTCCTGCTTTGCCCGCTGCCCGGTCAACCATTCGGCGACACGCGCCACCCAACCTGCCTCCACGGCACCCACTGACAGTACAGCCCCACCGGACGCGCTGGCGGGCCCAGCGCGTCATTCTCCCGCGGCTAGCCCTCCGCCGCGTCGCGGAAGAAGGCTATACCTCGCTTCGCCGCTAGTCCACCTCTCCACCCGCCCGCCCGCACCTAACCCCAGCTCCTCGCCAACCTCCCCGTCCCGTCCCGTCGATTCGATTCGGTCGAAGCGGGCGGGCGGAGGAGAGGCTAGAGATTCGGATGGGCGTGGCTCCGAGGAGGCTCTAGAGGCGCCAGCCGAGGTGGTGGTCCGTGGGGACGGGGAGGGGAGCGCGGGCGGGAGGGCGGCGATGGAGGAGAAGGCGTCGTCGCCGCTGATCCCGCCGCCGTCGGAGATCGACCTGGAAGCGGGCGGCGGCGGGGAGCAGCTCCAGTGCCGGATCTGCCTCGAGACCGACGGTGAGGGAGGCTCCGCGGTCCCGGCCGGACTCGCGCGTGCCGTTGCTGGCTGCGTTTTTTTAAATATTTTGTTTCCCCTGATTGTTTTGGTCGAGATGGCAGGGCGGCGGAGATCTGACTGGTTGTGTGGGTGTGCGTGCGCAGGGAGGGACTTCATCGCGCCCTGCAAGTGCAAGGGGACGTCCAAGTACGTGCACCGCGACTGCCTCGACCACTGGAGGGCGGTAAAGGTGAGCGCTGCAGTGCTTACTCGGTTACCGCTCCTCCCCTTTGTGCGGGTGGATGCTCAGGAATTGCTAAATGATGTCGCTTAGAGTTGGGGTGGACGGGGTTTTGTCTGCATTTTCTGTTTGGAGCTGTTTCAGTGGCATCTGACTGCAGGAAGTGGTTGAATTGCATGGTGAATCCGTCCAAGGTTGAATCTGTGACTTGATTTGCCTGATCCTGTGAATACGTGGAGGATTGATCTTCTTGATTTGTTCTTAGATGTTGTAGCTTTTTGTTCTGTTTGGCTGCTGTTTGATACTCCCTCCATTCCAAAGTATAAGATGATTTGGTTTTTCTAGATACACAGTTTTTGCAATGCACTTATATATACACACTATGTGTAGATACATAGCAATAGTAATTGCATCTAACAAAGACAAAACGTCTTATAGTTTCAAACAGGGGGAGTATTTTGCGATCTCTTAGTGCTGTAATTTGAAAAGAACTTAGCAGCATTTCTTGTAGATTGTCGATTCTTTTCTTATCAATCTTCTTAGTGACCTACATTGTTTTTTCCAGAATTTTGCTATAGATAATAGGAATATGTTATGAATGTGTTGAAGGTTACAGTTGTAATCTTCATGATTTATTGGTTTAGCTATGCAAATGGTGGAAGCTTTACACCTTTGCCTTCTGGAGATGTGTTGTGCATATCTATAATTGTCAAAATACTTTGTTCTTTTTTTGTGTAGTAGCAAGTCAGTGAGTAGTTGCAATCACTTAGCCAATAGAACATGAGATGCAGACGTTTTGTTCCCTCAATATTGGAGATGTGTTGCCTATAGGAATATTATAGACAGGGGTTCCCAGGTCAAAATCTGGTTGGTGGTATTGCAAATTCTGCTTTCTGTTAGGATGTTGGAATGTCTACATCCATTTGGAAGTTGTGCTGCTTGGTAACCGCAGATGCAGACTTGGATGGGATTTTACGTTGAACTTGGATGGTTCAGGACTTCAGGTTATGCCAAGAAACATGTTAACGAACTGAGAACTATAGTTGACTGTTTGGGTTAGAAAGGCTACACCTTTTTCCTGCCAAGTCATTCCTTGATATGTGAATTCTTTTGTGCAGCACAAATTAACTAGTGTCTCTTCCTGGTGTAAGTATATATAAGTATGAAAGAATTCGGTAGTTTGTGTTCATTTTGCTGCCTGTCCTATCTAGAGCTTGCTACCAAAAATTGATTGTTGATTTCTTTGCAAGACCAGTAAACTAACCAGGTTTCGATGCTTCACAAACAGGAGGGATTTGCATTTTCCCATTGTACCACCTGCAAGGCTCCATATTACTTGAGGGTTCATTCCCACACTGACAGGAAATGGCGAACACTGAAGTTTCGTTTCTTTGTTACTAGAGATATACTATTCATCTTTGCTCTAGTCCAGATTGTAAGTTTTTGAAACATTCTTTTATTCATATCCCTATCTACATTCAATTGAGTGACCAGTGGTATTTTCTTATTCCTTCATTCAGGTCATCTCTGCATTGGCATATTTGGTACATTTTATTGATGGGTACCAGCAATATTGGTTAAGGACAGCCTGGGGTTTTGATAATGAAGTTAGTTTTTATTATATATGTGGTAAACTGCCTAATCTTTCCTTTATTACTACTTTCACCTGTTTTTGCATGCCTGTTCGATAAAAATCATGCCCTGATTTCTATGATATCTATTGTCACCATGGATCCTTAGAACTCAGTAATTGCATGAGAATTTTTTAGGTTTATAAATTAATGTGAAAAAGAATATGAGTAAAGAATAAGGAAAAGCATTAGGATTCAGTGTTCTTTGTCAGAATAAAAATGCAATTATTGGGAGTTAACATGCAAGGTGCCATGAAAAGCTTTGCTTGCAACTTAAACATCTATCCATGGCCCAGATCAATCAGTGTTTGTTATTCTTATAGAAGTGATCAGATGTGTTTGCAATTATTATGATTCATAAAAAGCGTACAGGCATGTGATGAAACTGAGCTCAGAGAGAAGATGTTGAAAGTTGTATTATCATTGATATATAGAAAGTTGTATCATTGACATATATACTTCAACAATATGAGACAAACTGCTCAAACTTTTACTGGAAGACTATGTTGCTAGCATTTTAGTCAATTCTGTGGCACATAATGTTTTCCTTCTGAACTGATTGTGAACTTATCTCTTGGTTACAGGTGCATTATTGTTTTTTGCTTTGTTGGGACTATCGGGATGCTTCATAACCTGTTATGACCGAAGAGTACGGAATGACTTGGCTCAGCCTTGTCGAGAATTATGTCTTTGTTGCTGTCAGCCAGGGTATGCATTTGGTTAGCTCAGTCTTCAAGTCACAAAATACTGTCTTAAACTAAAGCTATGTCTCTTAACCCTGAAAAACATTCGTCAACACAGTTATTGTGCCATAGTAAAAATGTACACAAAAGTAACGTAAAGAGATTGTGTTTTTTATCTAATTATTTGAATGGAGGCTAAACTTCATAAAAGATATACAGATGGTTTGTTGCAGCACTTACCCAGTTTCACTGGATTGATAAAGCACCCAATTTCACTGGACTGATGAAGCTTGTTCACCTGTGCATATGCATTTATACTGTGTTCGTCGTATATTCTCACAGGCCATGGTTTTCATGCTTGTACTGTTTGATTGTACCGACATGTGTTCTATTTCATTCAGGATGTGTGCAGATTGCCATCTACCTGGCACGCTTTGCATGTGGACTGACTGCACTACCTGCTTCGAAGGCTGCGCTACCACAGCTGGCGAGTGTGGTGGTTGCTTGGGAGGTGCTGGGGAAGCCGGGCTACCGTTGCTCCTCATCATGGGGGTTATTATGCTTGGGCTTTTCACGGTTATCGGCATATTCTACAGTGTCCTGGTCGCAACAATGGTTGGCCAGCGGATCTGGCAGCGGCATTATCACATTCTTGCCAAACGAATGCTAACCAAGGTGAGTACTTCCATGTGTTCATCAGCTGTCTCATCTACCATGGTTTTACTCATGTTTGGTGTCAATATCTTCCAGGAGTATGTCGTAGAGGATGTCGATGGCGAGCGCACAGACTGGTCTCCGCCGCCACTACCCGTGGAGCACATCAGCCAGCTGAAGTCTCTGGGGCTTCTATAATAGCTCACGCCATCACGTCGATGGCAGGTGATGACCATAAGCTAGGACTCGGCGTGGCATTACCCAGCTGTACAGGAGGCGATACAAAGCAGGAAGTCAGGCATTCTGTGTTGAAATGTGGCAATGTTGATATCTTTTTTTTTTTTGTACATTGTAACGGCAAAGATTTCTTCCTGACAAACCAAACTCAAAATTTTTATACCAAGTGAAATCGCGTACTTTACTGAAAGTCTGTGTGACCTCTCACCACTGCAAATGACTTTGTCATGTATGAACTCGTTCAGAATGACGACTGGGATTCATTGTACGAACCTCGAATTCTGTAACTGAGACCTCCGTAAACCATTGTTCGCCATTTCTACTCGATTCTGCATGCACAATATCAAATTATTATTTCTCTGTTTGATTACTGGATGATTTCTTCCAAAAAGTATAAATAAAAAGGATTTTTTTAAAGGAATAAAAAGGATTTAAAACTTACAAGCCCCAACTCCCAACTTCGGAAGCGGGCCTGTTGGGCTTAATACTTCGGTCCGATGGGTCCCATTTCCATTGACGCCTTACGTTATGAAGAGCTTCCCCTTCCCAGCCAACGAGGCCTAGCTCACTTCACTTCGCACTTTCTTCCCCACGAAACCAGAGCAAATCCGCCGAGCCGGTGCGGCGGCAGCGGCGGAGGAGGAGGAGGGAGACGCCGGCGCGAGCAGGAGCATCAGGAGGAGGCTGCGGAGATGGATCCGGACTCGGTGAAGTCGACGCTCTCTAACCTTGCCTTCGGCAACGTCATCGCCGCCGCCGCCCGCGACCTCCAGAAGGTGACCGACTTCTCCCCCAATATTCCGGCGCCGCCTTACGCTGCCGCCCTGCCGCAACTCTGCCTTTTGTACCGCAACTGGATCGCGGAGTTTGACTAGGAGGTAGCTAGCACCCGCGCGCCGGATCTCATGGCTGGCGCGCGCGTACGCGGAGTTTGATCCAGACTATGTTTTTTTATCGGAATAGTAGCTGCTGGTTTCGGCCCGCGAGTTGCTGAGTTGCGCCTCTGGGAACGCTTGCATGTTTGCTCGCGGATCAGTAAACTGGTTGCGAGTTCAAACGTAACCTGATGTTATGTTGGAGAGTTTAGTTGGGTGTGATCCATGGGAGTAATGGAATGTAAGTTTCAGGTGTTCGATAGAGTGATGGTGCTGGATGCACAAGTACTTCTTGTGAACAAATCATTTCATGGGTTTGCACAAACGAGTTTTGTCTAGCTGGGATGTACTGGATTTTGGTGTGGAGTGTGCTTCGGCCTTTGGGGAATAAGTAACTGGATTTTCCTGTCTTGGGAGCAGAGTTGTATCTGTTGCGAATCCTGGTATTCAAGTTGCTCTTCTTGAGTTCTCCACTCCTCAAAAATATCTTATTAGTGAACTTCCTGATTTTACAATGTTTGGTCTAGGGGGGATAGTGTGTTTATTCATGAATATTGTACTTGTGACGCTTTGCATTGTCTCAGGTGGTTTGTGTATGGCAGTGAGTTTTTAGTTAAAGGGCTTATTTCAGCAGTGAGCATGAGCTAGCAATTGCTTGAAATTGGTAAAGTTTAGAACTCTTAGCCTGTTGGAGGACCATGGATTCGTCAATTTTTTTTTTTTGTATAAGCCCCCTTACTTTGTACCCCTTTATATAGAAGAAGATGGATCGATTGACTCCTGCATACAACATTGTCTGGCTATCATGGAAAACTTCATTTACCAATTTCGTTATTTCTGACATTTTTTACAGTCTGTTAACCCACATTAATTGTTTATTTGTTGTATCATTGTTTTCTTTCCATCATTGTACTGTGGTTGGCAGACTCCCCACCTTGTTTCTATCACTTTCAGTTGTTTTCGACTTTCCAGTATGGTATAGAGATTAAATGTTTCTCCTTTTTTCCTTTGAATTTCACTTCTGACATTGTAAATGGAGCATGTTTTCTATGTGTTCCATTATGGATTTTAATTTCGTCATGCTGACATTGCTGCACTTCATCTTAGGAAATGGTGGCTAAAGACAAAGCTCAAGCAGCACCTGCAAGCCATGATGAAGTTGATCTTGATGAGTTGATGGATGTGAGTAGAAGGAGAAATGTTTATTTACTTATCCCTTGTATTTGCCTTATTTGTATGGCACATAGTATTGTGTCATATTGTGGGTTATCAAATTCATGGAACTTTTCACCAGGACCCAGAACTTGAGAAGTTGCACGCGGAGAGAATTGCTGCCCTTAAGGTACTGATCTCCATCTTTCACTTATGAAGCTTATGCAAGTGTCATGTTCTTTTTATTCATGAAAGCTCTCTATGCAACAGAAAGAGGCTGAGAAGCGTGAAGTGCTAAAAAGTCAAGGTCACGGTGAATACAGGGAGATAACTGAAGGGGACTTCCTTGGGGAGGTTACTGGCAGTGAAAAAGTCATATGCCATTTCTATCACCGTGAATTTTACCGTTGCAAGTATGGCATAACTTACGTTCTTGTTTTTTGAGATATTGTTTTGCTTTTGGTACTTATGGAAATTACTTTCTGTGAATATTTGCTAGGATCATGGATAAACATTTGAAGGCCCTTGCCCCAATCTATGTGGGAACAAAATTTGTCAAGCTTGATGCTGAAGTCTGTATACTACCACTTGGCTATAAATTACTTTCTTTTAAGAACCCTGAAGCCTAATGTTATCTATAACTTACTGCAGAATGCTCCATTCTTTGTGGCCAAACTGGCAATCAAAACATTGCCATGTGTAATATTGTTCAAGTAAGTTCACAAGTTTTTCATAACTCCTGCCTATTTGATAATGTTTATTGGTGTTTGGTACCCTGCAATCTTCCTGCTTCACCATACTATGATCCCTGTCCTATGTCAGGAAGGGTATTGCTGTTGACCGGTTAGTTGGGTTTCAAGATCTCAGAAGCAAAGACGATTTTTCAACAAGAGCATTGGAAAATATTCTAAAGATGAAAGGTAACCATGAAAACTATACGGCAGTCCTTGACAATTTTGGGATGACAATGCGTTAACGTCCAAAAACAAATTCTAGGGATAATTGATGAGAAGAAGAAAGATGATGATGATGATGAAGAAAGTGAGTCTAAGAATAGGAGGGTTAGATCTTCAACTGCTCAAGATTCTGACTCAGACTGAACATGAGATGAAGATTGGGGATTCACCTTTTTGCACTCTAGATTTTGTTTGTCTGTTCTGTACTGTAATTGATTTGTGTGACCCATGTATCGATACCAGATACCAGAACAAGAGCATGTACAAGAGATTCTTTACTAACTCAGCATCTATTAGGGTTTGTGTAAAAGCTAGGGTTTGTGGCTGCCTTTTATTTTATTGCTCATTTGTCATAAGATGGTACGACTGATGTATTGTTGTCTGCTGTGGGCATTAGCGTCCGCTAGAGTGAAAAAGGTCGCATGATCACTGCCCTGTTCGCCGCTGAAAGTACCGTTGGTTAATTTGTTGTGAGAGAAAAATACTGTTCGTTGGCTGAAAAAGTATGGCTTATAAGTCTAGTGAACAGGGTTTGAGCAATAATGGCCTGGCGGCTGGTTAGATGTGTGGGCCCCATGCACCTGTTCGGAACTGTTGGCTTGTTCGTTGCTGGTTTGTGAGGAAGTACTGCTGGCTAGTTTGTGTGAGAGAAAAATATTGTTCCTGGCTGAAAACACTGTTTATGTAAACAGTGCCCGCGTGAAAGGGTTGGCTAGCACCAGCCGCTCCAGTCCACTAGTACTCTGAAGCACTCAGCCTGTTCGGCTGGAGGAAAACGATCGTATACGATCGTAAATATCTAGCCAGAATAATATTTTTCTCTCACACAAACCAGCCAGCAGTACTGGTTGACTAAACATGAGAGTGTTTCGCTGCGGTTGCAGTAGATTTTTTTTAAAAGCTGACAGTAGAATATTGTGCCTCTTTGACCAAATACTAGATGGTCATTTCTTATGTTGCCCATTTTTTTACCACATATAATTTGACCAACAATTGACACGTGTTTTACCGGCAATTTGTTTTGCCGCCCGTCGGAAACGGCATGTACTTTCTTTTTACAATTCTTTTCAACCATAGTATAGGTATAAATGTAAACGCTCACTCTATAAATATACGCTCACACACCCTAACTTATGAATACGTCTAAAATATTGAGCTGGCATATTTTAATTGATGAAGTAACATAGTTGAGAGAGAAAATTAAATAGTATTGATTTTTAAACCTAGAGGTGGTTACGTCTTACATATAGTATATACCAGGATGGTGGGAGTTTATCTAGAGAGGCATATTTTAATTGATGAAGTAACATACAGCCTGTTTGTTTGGCTAGGCTTGTTCGTTGCTGGATCGTGAAGAAGTACTGCTGACTGGTTTGGTATGAGAGAAAAATATTGTTCCGGCTGAAAATTTACGATCGTTTACGACCGTATATGCCCAGCCGAACAGGCTGTTGTCTCGCTACCAATGGATATATTGGCTACCATTAAAACCTATAAACACACTATGCACGCACACATCTTACCTTATAAGTACTTTTGAAATATTGAGTCGATATACGTAGAGATTGACGAAGTCATCATAAACATCTTACTGTCGAAGGATACGTCGTCTATCACTACAAAAACATCGTTAGATCCGAAAATACTTTTTTAAAATAAATTTGTGAACAGCCAGGTCAAACCTAATGGGCATGTTCCGTTACAGAGAACTTAACCGGTTGAGTTATACTTCGTTCACAGTGAACTTAACATTTATTTGTATAACTCGACAAAACGTGGATTCTGTCATGCAAAAAGAAACTTGTAGGATTAATGAAAATTCATTCTCATCTTTTTCGTGCAAAACATGTCCAATTTCTAAGATGTGTTTTGTTTCTTAGTAAATTTTGGTGACCAAAGTTGGTCAAATCTAAAGCAATCGATTTGGTGACTAAAGTTTGACCATACCAAAATTTAGATTGGTTAGGAGATGGTAAAAACTAAAACACTCCTGTGTTTGGATGCACCAGCTAAATTATAGGTAGCTAATTTTAGCTGCGGTGCATCCAAACACCCCATTCTATTAGCAGCTAAAAGGCCTCCCAACTAATAGGAACCAGGCAACCATCCAATTAGCTTGGTTATTAGGAGATGGTAAACACTAAAACACCCCTGTGTTTTACTAACTCAAAAGGCAAAACGGAGAAAAGTACAAGAAACGAAATAAAGATTTTATTCGGCTGATGATTTTTTGTCTGATAAAACGGTTGATGCTATTTTGTTAAAGAAAAACACTGCATGACTCACAAGTTCAAGTGAACAGCGCGCTCATTCTGCTACTGCACACTGCAGCGCCATTAGCCAGTAGCCCAGTACACCCCACTATCAGCAATTCGAGATTCCTGCGTCCCACTCCCACCCCCGCACCTCCCTTACTCCCCATTGCTCCCAGTCGCCTGGCTCCACCCACCCGGCCACCCCTGCCTCCCTGCTCTGTGCCCTCACACGGTCACCTCTCCGGCTCTCCCCTCGCCAAGAACCAACAAAACCCTATGCCTGCCTGCCACTGTGCGCACGTGAGCGACCCACTGCCCTGCTCGCCCGGGATCGAGCCGCGGCGGCCGCATTGCCGCGTCCGTCCTGGAGTCGCCGCCGCCACGGAGGTTTCGGTGAGTGAGATTCTCTCGTCGCCTCTTTGACTAGCTGTTGAGCTGGGATTCTTGAGTTCTAGGCTACTGGACTGTGGAATCGGGTGGGGTAGGTAAGAAAGTATGTCTCTTTCCTGTGCTATAAATAAAGCCCTGGTGGTTTAGGGCGGGTTTTAGGTTAATCCTTGGGTGGATTCTTGGTTTGGTTTGGATTCTCCGATGCGCTGCATTTGATTGATTTGGGGATCCCTTGATCCGGGCTCTAGAGAGGTTCCCATGCCGATTTCGGGGGCGCCTTGGTCTGGAATGAAAACCACATTCTACTGTATTGAGGATGAAGAAGAGGGGGGAAACATTTTTGCCCCAATTACCCCTTTTGCCCATTCCGTCCTGCTGGTAGGAATGTAGGATAATACTGGTTTCAACTTTCAAGAACAGGATTTGCGTAGTGCCCTGGTCACCACCTGGGGATTTGGGGGCTGCATTAGGAAGATTACCGTGGTGCTGAAGTGCTGCTTTTGAGGTAGTAATGGGTTTTATCATTTTTTTTTCTCTCACTATATGATACAGTTGTTTGATCAGAGGTTGGAATTGGAGAAAGGTCTCGCTTTGCTGGTTCCTTTTCTCACTCTGTTGTGCCAGCTTATCTGCTGCCACAGCCCCTGCTTGCTTTAATCATAAGACTGCTTGCTTTAATCATGGCACAGGCTTCCAAGAAATACACTTTGACCATTGGCTTATGATGTGTTGTCAGTGTTGAGACTTGAGCGCTTGAGGTTATCTTGTGAAGCAACAAAAGAGTTTCTTTGCCTTATTTCCCTTGCTCTATGATTTGTTGGTTCTTATACCTGCGCCATATCCTACTCTTATAGTCTGATATCTTCAATCAGTGTCAATTGTTCTGCCCTTTTTATCTTTCGTGTACCAGATTAATTGTCTGCCTGAAATGACTATTGTGAGGCTGTGTAATGTGTGCCACTTCAGCTCAAGTTGGCGGCAGATGTGGTCAATTTTTGTGTACAGTGGCCCTACATTGAGTATTTAGTTATTGCCCTATTCAAGTGGTCTGTAGTTTGATTTAGGTCAATTCTGTTAAGTGTTAAATTCATTTCTGTATTTTACATGTTCTGTACTCTGACAAGTATTGTTTTTTTCTGTTGATAGGATCTGAGGAGCAAAGACCATTACTTGTCATAAGCAAGATTTCTAAATTGGTGGAGCTTTCATCTGTGTAGTTGGACTGTGATGAATTTACTGGTCTCTAGTATACAGTAGGGAATCAGTTTAGTGCAACTCAATGGGTTCTTCTCCTTCCAAAGCCACTGGAGAGGACGCCCTGGTTCTGTGCAAGGATCGGATGCGCCATATCAGACAAGCCATTGACTCAAGAGATGCACTGTCAGCAGCACACTTATCTTACACACAATCCCTCCGTACTGTGGGTACTGCACTGCGGCGGTATGCTGAGTCTGAGATCTTACCAGAATCATCACTCTCCATTTCAGAAGTGGATAAGTCGCCATCGCATTCCTCTATGGCATCTCCCTCGCCTTCACGTGCAGTAGAGAGTGTTGCCTCTCCGGCGCATCGAGCAAGTCCATTGACTACTCCGCCCTCAACAAGAATCCATTGCATGAAAGCAGCTGCAACCGCTCCTTTGACCTTTGTGATAGATCCAACTGCTGCTGAATTTGCGGGGCATGAATCCCCAGTCTCAGCTTTTGTCCCACCCCCGCCACCATTGCCTCCAGAATTGTGTACCACATGGGACTTCTTTGATCCTATTGATGCTGCTGGTAGCTCTTCCTCCAACAATGAGAATGGGGTAACCCTGAACTTCAGTAGATTGAAGGGTCTAAGAGAGTCAAGGGTAGCTGAAGTAGTTCCATTGAAAGAAGGTGAAGAAGAAATCATGTCTGACAGAAGGCATACAGAACTTCCTGATGATAATGCACCATCTAAGCAGGAAAGAGAGCCAAAGCAAGGTGGGACCAGGAAACCAAGTCAGTTGGTGGATACTTCAACCAAAGCTACCTCTGAGCAGGTTGCTGCAAAGTTGGGGGAAAGAGAAATGGAAAAAGAATTATGTGCAGAGGCAGAGGATCCTTCAGAGTTCATCACTCATCGAGCCAAAGATTTTGTGTCGAGCATGAAGGACATTGAATCCCGGTTTATGCGTGCAGCTGAAGCAGGAAATGAGGTTTCCAGAATGCTTGAAACCAAGAAAATCAGACTTGACATATGTGCTAAAATACCAGGTGATAATCATGAGTGTTGCATGTCTTTTTTTTTTTCAGGATTGTGTCAGCATTTTTTGAATAATTTTTAATTCGTTATATTACCCAAATTCTAGGTTCTCCAGGCAAGCTACCTACTGCCCGATTTGTGTCAGCACTTCGAGTGTGCTGCAATCGTGATGTTATTCTCAACCAGGGTAACCAGGGTGTTTTCATTATTCTCTTCCCTATCATAATGTTTTCCTGAAGTACTAATTTTAAGTGTCTCTGTAGAAACTGCACAGCATGCCTCAAAGGTTGTCACATGGAAGCGTTCTGTCTCATCTCTGTCATCATCATCTAAGAGTGCACTTATGACATCAATAATTAAAGATGATTTGGATGACAGTAATAGTGATTTTGTTGAGGAATTCGCCATGGTATCTGGAAGCCACTCTTCTACGTTGGACAGGCTACACGCATGGGAGAGAAAACTATACGATGAAATCAAGGTACATCATAAATACATATTCAGCAAGCTCATCTAATATGCTGTCAATCTCAAACCTTTTGCTAGTCTCATGAATACCTCTACATGGAATGCCTGTTCTTTTATATATGTCAAGTAAAAACTGGTGTGTTTAATCTTCAAGCGCTTATGACTTTATTTTTGAGATGTGGTACATTGTCACAAGGGTTGTTAAATGAGAACATGTAATGCATGATCTTTATTAATATTGCATTTTTTAGTCTAATAGTTCAAATGTAGTTTGTAGATCGTTTATTGTGTGCTAAGTGCTAACTACTCTCTCTATTCCAAATTATAAGACGTTTTGGCTTTTGCTATGCACTTAGATATACACTACATTGTAAAAACAATGTATCTAGAAAAGCCAAAACATCTTATAATTTGGAATGGAGGGAGTAGCAAAGAAACTAGGGTGTAGGCTATGAGATGTTTGGACACTTGATGGCATAACGAATCATTGTTACTGCCTTACCGCCTTACTTGGTTTATGTAGGCAAGTGAAAATGTTAGAAAGGCCTATGATGAGAAATGTAACCTCCTCCGGCGCCAATTTGCACGAGGCCTAAATGCGCAGCTGATTGATAAGACTAGAGCTGTTGTGAAGGATCTCCATTCCAGGGTATCTGTTGTGATTCAGGCTGTTGATGCAATCTCCAAAAGAATTGAGAAGATAAGGGATGAAGAACTGCAGCCACAGCTTGTCGAGCTAATTCAAGGGTATATATACCTGATAGACAGCATTTCTTATACCAGAATTTCGAATGCAAATCTTCCTGTTTCATTTTTTTTACAGTGTATGTTAGTAAAGATTTTTTTCTCGAACACATAAGAGTTGCATGCCATTCCATCAATAGGTAGAAAATGGTCAATTACATGCCGATTCCACTGCTCTGGTTAATATCACACCAGGTTTAGTAAATATTTTAACTGTCAATATCACTCCAAATTTATTTTTGGCAGAATGATAGTACAATGCTGAGAATCAGAAGATTACAGTTCACAACCTATTCTCAGAAGTTACCTTGTTTTGCTGAAATATTCTGATGGCTCATAATTCTACCTTCAGTCTTAGCTGATCAAAATCCTGTTTTTGACATTTCTTGTCTACTAACCTTGATCTGACTTCATATAGGCTAATCAGAATGTGGAAATTGATGCTGGAATGTCACCACAAACAGTTCATCACGACCACATTGGCATACCATGTGAAAAACTCAACCCCAGTGCATCAAGGTGAGCACCGCCGCCAGGCGGCAATGCATCTGTGGAATGAGATGGATGGCTTCTCTTCCAGCTTCAGAAACTGGGTCACTGCTCACAAATCATATGTCGAGGCCCTCAATGCATGGCTCCAGAAGTGTGTCCTGCAGCCACCCCAGGACCGACGCAGGCGCAAGCGCAAGGTCTCCTTCCCTCCTCGCCAGGCCATATCCCCTCCCATATTCATCCTCTGCAGGGACTGGCTCGCCATGACAGAATCTCTCCCTGCTGACGAGCTATGCAAGTCCCTCAAAGATGTGATGCAGCTCCTCCATGACTCGTTTGAGCACCACGATGAGCAGAACAAGCCAAGAAGCGAGTCGCAGGAGTGTGGGATGCTGGAGAACAATAGCAAGCAGGAGGTGGCAAAGAGTGGGAGTGTAGCATCAGCTGAAGGGCTGCAGTCGAGACTAACGGCGGTTCTTGACCGCCTGACAAAGTTCTCAGAGGCATCACTGAAGTGCTACGAGGAGCTCAAGCAGAACTATGAGATGGCCTGTGCTGATTATAAGAGAGTTGGACCAAATGCTCAGCTTTCTTAGGATTATGTTGATTGTGGTATATGACTTCTTGCTATCTGTTCTGGATGACAAATTCTAGTGTTTTGGTATATATTTTGTGAGCAATCAGGTTATAGTACAATCTTTGGCCTAATATTTACTGATTTAGTGGGTATGCCTCAGTGTTGGGCAGATTTTAAGCTTCATCACCTGCCATGCTTGGAAAGGCATATGAGAACCGTTTTTGCAAAGATATCACAGGCAAGATATCATGATTTCTGTGCGCAAGTAATCTGCTACTCATCTTGCAGCTATGGCATAGGTACCGGCATTACTTTTTACAGGAGTTCTGCAAGCATGTAATCTCCTACTCACCTTGCAGCAATGTCATAGGTACTGGCATTAATTTTACAATGATGGAGAATAAGCGGCTTTTCGAAATTTATCGAACCAAGTGAAAATCAAATCTATATAGCCATTTTTAGCTCACTGATAAAAATCTTCATTCAAAACAATTGAGCCAAAAAAATCTGACAATTCATTCACAAGGAGCCAGTACTTTGCATTTACTGTTTACATATACTACTGAAACTTATTTGCTCATCTATATATACCTTAATTGCAACTTCGTAATATATGAACTTATCGGACCTATTGTTTGTATGTATATACTCTACTAGGAGCCCACATACTGGGTGTATTGTGCATAGGCCTCCGATTGCATGCCAATTGGGGCACGGATGATGAGATCTGGAAGGTCAAATGCGTCGATAAGTTCTCGTGTCACTAGCCTCACTTGGTAACTGAGGTAGTCTGTCAGCTTATGAATAGCCTGCAGACATACAAGGGAGTATGCTGTCAGGTTCTGGGATTCAGGTTACAGTATGAAGCTAGAGCTAAAATTGCAGTATGAGATGAGACCACACACCTTAGCTTTGTCTGGGGCAACATAGTCTACATTCCGATATGTTCCAATATCTTTCCAGATCCTGTCAAGCGCATAAAGGTCGCATACCAGCTTCAATACTCCCCGTGTTTTTTCATCAGGGCAACTGCATATATGCATTGTAAGTGGTTGCCAATTGTGGTCACAATAAAGAGCCAGAATATTTCAAAAGAGGTATGAAAGACATCTGAACTATTAGCTGCCTCAGATATAGTTTAACTACAGTTTATTTGTTGTGGTTTGCCCGTTCAGTAAAACAGAAAAGCTAGGATAACAAGGGTTAAAACAAAAAAGGAGTTCCAAGTAGCTAAAGCCGGGTGTCCATAACAGAATAATATAAAGAGCTCAGCACTACCTGGGTTCTGCTATTCAATGATTTTGTGGCTTGATGATTCAAAAGAGAGTTCATTCGAAGCACAAAGAATCCGAACCAAAGCGGGTGCAAAAATGCAATCAGAAGAAATTCACTAGAAGAATTTACCTTTTCACTGATTCAATGAACTTTGCAAGGATGACAGACTCAATGTGTGATTCTGCAAGTGTAAGCAGGTGATTCAAGCATCTATTCCACGCACCAAAACCTCCAAGTGTCTTGCTATGTTTCTGTAGCCGAGCAGCGACACTATGTAGCAACCGAGATGTTCGGTACTGAGAAGAAAGGTTGCCCAATCAGTACCGGAAGTGAACATGAGAGAACTCTCAGTAAATAGGAAGAAATGACTCACTCTGAATGCATCCAGCTGGAAATTAGGATCCGCAGATGATCTTCGCCCTCCCATCGGGCAGTGACAGGATTAGGCTGGGACAGGTAAGTACCCATGGAGTCTCTCAAGTAATTCCAGGTAACTGAAAGTGTCCCTCCCTTAAATTTCTCCTGGTATTGCTTCAGGAGATCTCCAGCAACCTACAAGAGCATGAGAAGATGCACATTATTTAAGGAAAAGTAACTTCATAGCATTTTTAGAAACTGATCCCAACTTCTTCTGAGCTCAGGTTATTTCAGCAAGCATGCCCCTCAAATATTGTCAGTCTGAAAACAAACCATCAGCTGGCTCTAATGAAGGATGCGATCAGTACCTGCTGCAGAAGAACTGTGTTATCCCCCTCAAACGTTTGGAATATATCATGGTCATTGCGCAGAGCTCCAAAACGATTTACAGCAGCATAGCCATGGCCACCACATGCTTCTCTGCATATGCTTATAGACTTTGCTGTATATGAAGTTATGTAGGCCTTCAACCCTGATGAAAGAACATGTACGTCAGCAATAAGATCCTCATCATTGGTTTTCTTCATTTCCGAGTACTTATCCACTAACTGTACCGTGGCAAAGTGAAACGCATATGACGATGCTAACATGGGCATTAATTTGTTCTGGTGAGACTGATAATCCAACACACTGATCTCAGGCTGCTTAGGTGGACCGAATTGGTGGCGCAGAAGAGCATACCTCACAGCAATTGTTACTGCGACTTTGAGAACACCCACAGAACAATATGCAATGCCAACTCGACCACCGACAAGCTCCCCAAGGGTTGCTGCAAATCTTTTGTTAATTGTGGGCAGACTGCTTGACACATCACCAAATCGATTCAGAAGATTATCTCTGGGTATCCTAACTGAGCGGAATCTCAGTGCACCATTGTCTACACCATTAAGGCCAATCTTGTGCCCACAATCATTGATCTCGATTCCAGGAAGAATAGCATGAGTTTCATGGTCCCGTGTGGGGACGATAAATGCATGGATGCCCATATCAGCAGGTTCCCCTCCTTTTCCTTGAGGCCCCGTTCGTTTGGCAGGGAATCACCCACCGAAACTAATCCTGCCAGGAATACTACAGTAATTTATATAGCAAACTGTCACCAGTATTGAGTCCTGCCAGGAATAGAGCTAAACGAACGAGCCCTGAAGGGGTAAAAATAACCTTGCAAAGACAGTAGCAAATTTTCCATGAACTGCAGCATTGTCAATCCACCACTTAATAGCTCCATCATTTGGGGTGTTAATAATGAATTCATCAGTGACAGGATCAAATGTAGCGGTAGTCTGTAGGGCTTGGACATTCGATCCTATTTGCAGGAAAAGAGTAATAATGGTAAGGGGAATTGAGTATCAATTCTTTTGAATATGTAACAGTGCGTTAGGTGCTGGGTACAAGCCCTACTGTGCGCCATTCAAAATAAACAAAACACAACAGTATTGAGACACTGTAGCTGCATGTACATTGATAAACTGCCAAGCAACAAAAGAATAGAGACATCACTGATTAGTGGATAATAAATAAATAAGTGGAGAACCTAACCATGATGTAGTTCTGTCATTGCAAAACAGCCTGGATAATCCAAATTGTCAATTCCATCAAAGTACTTATCTCTGTGCTTTTTGGTTCCTAGATTTATGACAGAACCACCCCAGAGGCTGCATTAGCAAGGACGTTAAGTTAGTACAATATGAGAGACTAAGACTGCGATTAGGTAGAGAGTATATAGCTGGCTACAAAATTTAATCCACAAGGACACTTTCACAAATTCAAATATGTTGAAATGTACAACTGATAATAATGGCAGCAGAGTTTGGATCTGGGCCCATCATCAAAATAAACAAAACCATATAGTAGAGATAAAAAGTGTCCACATTGATTGTGATTTCAAGGCAAGTAGTTTGATCATTATCATCTGTCTGATCAGTTTAATGGCTGAAAAACAGCCGCAGCAGAAAGTTCTCCAAAAGCAACCTCAACTGCTCAAGTACATTTTTGCATGAGATTGAACAAATCATTGTCCTGAGTAATTAATGCATCTTTATGGTAATATGTTAAGCAGGACCTCATTCGCAAAAAGGAAAATGAAATCCTATGAACACCCAAAACCAAAAATTTCATCCCAATAAAAGAAGGGGAAATAATGGAAAAGAAAATGAGCTCAAACTCTGTTTTCATAAACCCTGTCACTGAAAACCACTCGCACCAATACAGGTGAGGCTTCAATGGAGAATAGTTCAATTCAGATATTAACAAACCCAACCTCATTCTCACAGCAGTAAGCATCCTTATAATCCTTTTGAATGTGACAACAGATTGCATGTGAAGCCTATAAAGAAAAGGTTGCTAGGTATTTGTACAGACAGCTGGATCAGTTCAATTGGCCCATAAATTAGGTAGCATGGTCTATGTACCCTGTCCCCTATGATCGATCATGTTATATTAAATAGCATACTTGAATTTTCGGCTTTGTTTAAAGCAGGCACACAAAAGTCATGCAGCCTAAAATTTTACAACGAATTGGAAGCGGGGGCAGATAATTTTTGTTCGTAACCGTCATCCCCTAGTAAAATTAGTTACCACGTATTTTAGCCATAAGCCCTCTGCAGTGCTGATTAACAAACAACTAACGCCAATGAACACTGATCTAACTCCATCACCTACCGACATGTGTGTGTCAACATTAATGATAATTGTTCATGAGGTCTACACATCTTGTGTTTACCTCCAACTGTTGGAAGGTTTACAATTTTGTTGACTACCTCCAACTATCCAAAACAAAGCGACAAGATATGGAATCCCTAAATTTTGCATTGGATACAACATCAGCATAGTGATTTTTAATTTACCTTAGGTGTCAATTAATTAAATCAAAAGTCTATCACATGTTCTAGATACTGACTTCAGAGAAGTCTGATGAACTCGCTCTTGATGGCATCATTATCCCACATGGACAATGGACATTGACTTTGGATTTATCCTATGGACTAATGGAAGCATTTAATGAACCTCAATTAGGGGTTACTCTCATTATAGATGAAAGGAAATTGTGCCTTCCTGTTGTTAAGGTATTGCATCCATAAAGATCTTCGATAAGAATATCTTGTGGAAAGAAATGCACATTCTTCGTGGCTCACTCTTTAGGAGTTTTATGAACAATAAATAAACTCATATAGCTTGAGGCTAATCATGAGTGGATCATGTTTCTAGATTTTCAAACTATTAAAGACTATGATTATATTGTTCATACAATTTGCTTCCACTAGTAAAAACAAAAGGCCTAATGTGCAATATGAGTAATGTCAATATGAACCCAAGAATGACAAAGAGTAATGTCATATATGTGGTTGTGTTTAGCATAACGCTAAACAATGCCCTACTCTAAAATTTATAGTTGATATATATATCAACATTCTATAAGGGATGAAACATGAGCTACAGAAATAAGATATGAAGGGTGCTTCAATCTTAAAATCTGAAGTTACATAGGAGATTGGTTGTTTATGCTGGATCTTATGGGATCACATAACAACACTTCTCCTTTTCTCGTAAAGAGAATATAACATAGATGGACAACATGATCATCGAATATGCTTCATTTTGAGATTCGGTATAATCTCATGGTCAATAAATAATATGTGATAATGTTCATCAAAGATGTTGTAATACTTGTGTTGTCAACGCATAACTATTGTGGGTATCATATTGATGTATTTGATACTCAACAATATTTATGGATTTCTATATATTAGACGAGAATCTCATTAAACTCTTGTCATATATAGATTGTGCGAGAATCATTCAAATGTGGAATGATATGTGCTTAGTGAGCATTTGTTCCACAAACTCTATAATTAGGGAAGCAAAATGTTTTTGGTTTTTATGACAAGAAGAGGGAATATTTTGGCCATCGCTGATGTGATGTAGTTTGGCCTATTTTGCCACTATCATACTTCTTTAGATACTGAGTTAGCAATTGAGAATATTTAATTATGTCCCAATTCAACTCGCATCTTACTAAATTATAGAGATATCCAAATGTGTTTTCGTATGTGAACATAAAAGGACAACATTGGATATGGCATATAAGTAATGAGATAAGTCTCATTTTGGTTGTATTATGTATACAACCATCCCCGTACATAACATGTTGCGTGTAAGATAAATTTTCACACCGTTGATGCATTCCGGATTTAGAATAAACAACTTGGCCATCATATGGGATGAGGTGGAAAATTATTGGCAATTCTTTTGGTTAAGATTTCTCCAAAGTATGGATACGATAAGTGTCACAAGGGAAATAGATTTTAAGACCCTCTTATCTTAAAATCAGATTAAATGTCTTAGATTCCTTGATCATATTCAAGAGAATATGTGTGGGTTCGATACAAAGATTGTATGGATAGTTCAGGCATTTTATGGTTGTAAAGATACATCTATAAGATAAACTAAAATGTGTGAAAGTATCCACACTCAGTCATGCATTTGATAAATAATGGCTCTTGTTGTGAGCTCATTATCCTAAACACTTCTGAATTTTTGTACCTAAAATGATGATTGTTTGGTATAACAAGAATTTAGTTACATATCCGAAAGGATAAATGGAATCTATGAGTATGACATCAAGTTCATAGCAGGACCGTTGTTAGTGAATTGCTATTTGTCAACCTCATGTTGGGGTCAGGTAGATTTACACACTCCTGATTTGAGATTAACTGCATATCCCTCATATGCATTTGGTACGTGAGAATCCAAAAAGATTTCCTATTTACGTAAGATTGAGTACATTGTATACGTACCAATCTCACAATCACAGCATACATTGATGGGTACACACAGGAAACTGGGGATCAATGTGAGATTTCAATCTCTGTCGATTGTTAAGCATTTAGATCTCTTATGGAGGATCCATTTACGACTGATATGCTGATTTTATTTTGATAATGAGCATTTCTAGGCATTAAGGGGAGATTTGATGTACCATATATAATGCTAGGAAATTATTTGGAATGCATAAAACATTTCAAGCTTAGGATCATGTACTAAATGTTGAGTTCAAAGAATTGTTGATTTGTATAATATTACAAATAAACTACCAAATGCATTTACTGATTGCTAAGGTGTCTTATAAACTTTTTAAATTTTAAATTTGAAAAATTCAAATATAGTTAGATGATCTCAAATGAAAAAGTTGTCAACTACAAGCTTCTATAACTTTTTGAGACCTACAACTTTTATTTTGGTCATATTTTCCTGTGACTTTATTTGAATAATTTAAAATTTGAATTTTAAAAAATGACTACTTCAAACAAAATTTTGAACTAGTAAATGATTTTTGCTGAAAAGTCATCAACAACAAAGTTGTAGAACTCATCAAGATTTACAACTTTTATTTATGTCATTTGTTCATCTGACAAATTGATAGTATACATTGTTCATAAATTTACATATCTCTCTTATAGTTCACAAAACTAAACAAGAGATATAAAATTTATGAACAATTTTACCATCATTTGCTCAAATGAAGAAATGACCAAAATAAAAGTTGTAGATCTTGATGAGTTCTACAACTTTGTTGGTGATGAATTTTTTATTTGCAATCATTTACTCCTTCAAATTGTTGATTTAATTTACCATTTTTAAATTTAAATTTTGAATTGATAAAACAAAGTGACATGAAAATGACCAAAATAATAGCCGTAAAAACACAACAAATTGATAGAGCATCATTTTAGAAAAATTTAAGAAAAAATAATCAAATTTGAAGTTAGTACGAGAGAGAAAGACTAGTTACAAGTTTTAGCCAGAGATTAAAAAGAGAAATCAGCGTTCTTCAACAATTTAAAAATTGAATTTTCAACGGCCTTTTGACATAGTAAATGATTTCAAATGGAAAAGTTGTAAACAACAAAGTTCTATAACTTTTTGAGATCTACAACTTTAATTTTTGTCGTTTGGAAAATTTAAATTTTAGTACTTATTTTTTACTATT